ATTTGTATAACGGGTGCTGTGCCTTTAGAAATGCCCGTTTTCTCCATGTTTAAATACGGAGCATGTTTTATATAAAGGCAACAGATGGTTTGGCCTGGTCTGAAGGCAGGGTTGAGGGGAGCCCCGCAGGAGCAAAGGGCTTTGTGACCCTTGGAACTAGGGCGTTCCGCATTGGGGCTGTGGGGGTCACTGTGCCAAGAGCGTGAAGCTACAGGTCAAGCCTAAGGAATCAGAGGAGACTCTGAATTTTTAAAATAAAACAGGGCACAGAGTTTGGATCTTTGAGAGACCATTCCGGCTTTACTCCCCAGGTTCCCTCCACGGGTCTGTGCTAACTTTCCACTCTCGTCCAACACACTGGCATAGAAGTTTTAGGACGTGTTACGCAAGGAGATCCAGGGTTTAGGTGACTTAGCTATCATTGTCCGTCCCCTGTCGCTGCTGTTAGCAGAGACCACAGCAGGCGCTGAGGAAAGATTCCATTTCCTTGCCTTTTTAGCTTCTTTGCGGCCCCTTCCTCCCTCCTTCAGAGCACATCACTGCAGCTCTGCTTCGCTTGTTCCACAGTCCTGTCTCCCTCGTACAAGGATACCTGATTTCACTTAAGGCCCACCCAGATCATCTCCGCATTGCAAAATCCTTACTCATGTCTGCGAAGTCCCTTTTGTCCTACAAGGGAACAGTAACTGTTCCTTCTCGAGGGCTCCTAACACTGTTACTACAAACGCGCGTACGTTATCCGTTTGCTTTTACTTGTGTCCGTCAGTTCTTCCTTATACTTAGCCTAAATGAGGTTTATTCTTAGTAGGATTTGAGGGTGGTTACACGGGTGGGTTAACGATAGGATAAAGATGGGGCTAAAGGGGGCTTCCCCTCGTCTTCGAGTGACAGCGGCAGAGGAATCTGTACTCCAGGACCGGGGCGAGTGGTGGAAAGTGTACGGACTTGGACCTACGACCTGTGTTTAAAACAAGGCACAGCTCTGCCACTCATACTGTTACCTCAGGTGGGTGGTCCAGTGTTAGGTGCTTTAAAACCTTTGTTTTTTAAATAAATGGCATAGGCACCTTGAGACAGAGGACCGTCAAGCCTAAAACTAAGAATCCCAGCAGCTGTTGGCTATGTGTCAGGCCATTACGTGGGTGCTAGGCGCGTCCTCTTCCAAGCCCCAGCATGTCGCCTGTCCTTGCAGCATCACTGATTAGTTTTATCAAATACAGTGAGCTACACCAGCTGTGCCAATGCCCAGACAACAGCTGCACTCAGGTGACGACAAAAATGGCACCAGGGACTCACACACGAGCACATGGAAACTAGGGAGCTTTATTGGTTACATATTGTGCCGCAGAGCCAACAGCAGAGCCAGCAGCCAGCATTCGAGCCCGAGGATACGTGCAGACAGGCAGCTTCCACTATACACATGCACCCAAGGCGCCCTGAGTCCCTGCTCATGGCTTCGTCCTGGTTTCCAGCAACAGGGTCCGGCCTCCTTGGTCCCAGGCTTGGAGCAGGAATGTAGAAGCTGGTGCATCTAGACTCCAAGGGGCAGGGCTGAGGCCAGAGCGCCTGCCGGAACGAGCAGAGGGACTCGTGGACTGAGAGACGGGGCCCCCCCCCCCCCCGCAGAGGGGTCTCTGATGCATCGACAGTTTTGTGAGGGCTACTCGCCCAGCCCTCCCAATCTTTAAAATACAAAAAAATAGACTTTATTCTCTTAAAAATACATTCCTTTCAGTACATGTTCTGAGCTGTGAAGCAGCAGGAAAATAGGGCCCCTTTCCTATGATCTTGGCTGTGAGGCTTCGAGGAGAACCCTGGGCCCCACCGGGGGTTGTCAAAAGATAATCCCTAAAAGCAGCTCTTCCCAAGCACTCCTGTCAGAGTAACAACAAATCCCACATCCACAGAGGCTCTGGGTCCCTGTTCCTTACGGGGCAGGGGTAGCACTTGCCACTGACCCACCACACGTAGAGCACTAATGCTGCCCCAGGATCCCAGGTCCTAGACAACAGAGGAGGGGGAGGATTTATGCGCGGACTTGCCGGTGACGGAGGCCGGAGTGGCGGGCCCCGCTGCAGATCCCCTTTAGCCCGCGCTGGCTCACGGTCAGGCTAAAGCAGAAACAGCCATGGCTTCCTCACCTGCCACCCCTACAGCTTCCTCAGGTGGTGTTAGTGCCAGAGTGGTGAGAGCTCGGCCTCCGGCGTCCAGCCACCTCGCATACTTTCTCTAACCGCACAGCTCTGAGCACAGGCGCCCCGGGACCCCTCCCGCAGCCAGCCGCCGGCCGGCGAGAGCTGCAGTTAGAGGCGCGCTGCGGCGGCGGCTTGTCCTGCAAGTGGGCCTGTCGGCCGGGACAGCAGGGATGTTCGGTTGACCGGACAGCTATTTAATTACTGGGTCTCCCCTATTTGGTGAAAGTTTCCTCCAGGACCCCTGACCGTGAGGTCCAGATGGTCACACACAGGTTGGTTTTCCGAAAGGGGCCTTCGAACTTTGGAATTTGAGAGCCAGCCTTGCCAGCCACTTGAAACCCAGAGGAACCGAGCCTCCAGCCTTCGTTTGCTATTATAAATGGTATCGTCTGCAATGCTGAGGACACTTAAAAATAAAATCTATTTCATAACGGTTCTAGAAAGTATGCAGAGTAAGGAAACACAATATTTATCCTGAAATAATCGTTACAATCAAACCCTATTGCACTCAGATTTTTAAGACAGCAGCCCCCAGCAAGAGGGCAGCACGGCTGTCCCTCTTCCACAGAGCACTCTGGGGAGTGGCCGGTGCTGATGCTGCTGCAATGTGGAAAGATCCAGACTTTGGCACCAGGAGCTACAGCACCAGAATCCAGGGCTCCAACGCCCAAAGACGAGAATTATTGGCGACATCTCTGTAGGCATGGCTTGGCACCCTTTTGTTTCCACCAGCAGAGAAAGGCCGCAGAATTCGTTTCCTGTAACCTCCGCTGACCACCGCAGAGGCCCGTCTCCTTTGGACTCTCAAGGTTGCCAGCCAGTGAAGAGAATAACGGCAGGGAGGCTGCAGGTGAGAGGTTGCAACCTCGGGTAAGCTAGTTTCTAGCCAGTGACCCAGGAGCAGCAGCAGGAAGAGGTTCTAAAAAGAGCATCTTGAACTGAGCGTGTGAGGCAGCACAGTGGAGGGAGAAGCTACACGGCAGTGCCCTTCGGCTGGCAACTCCAGAAAACGGAAGTCGGCACACAACTTTCCTGCCTCCGAAAGGAAGCTAGGTGTGCCCCGCGCCGTCGCCAGGGTCACCAGGGTTGCCAGGTCTGATGGCAGACACGGGCGTGATGAGCGCTGGTTCCCACCGAGTACAGGCTGGGAAGACGCTCGCAAAGCCAGCAACACGAGATGGCCGACGGGGGTCCCGAAAGCCAGGGAGCGCTGGGAGCCGCGTAGGCACAGAAGCCATCTGATCCCATCTGATCCAGACCTCCGCTCACAGACCAGAAGAACGAGGCCAGCGGAGCTTCGCGGAGTCCATCCGCATGATGCTAAAACGCGGAATAAAACGCGGAAAGAACAAGGCCCACGAAAACGTGGCAGGAGAGAAGACACCTTCCCTGAACCCATCTGGATCTACCTTCCAGAAGCAGAGTGAGCCCCACGGGACAGTGTAAACAGAATCATCTCAGAATGCCAGACTTAGGACCCTTAGAGACCATTTCAGAGATTTCATTTTACAGATAAGGAAACTGAGGCCCCAAGAGGACAGTGACTTGCCCAAAATCACACAGCAACACAGTACAAAGCCATGAAGAAAACTCAGCTTTCCTGACTCCTAGCTATGCTCTTTCCCTAGGAACAGTGTCTGCATCATTACAAGCAGCCTTCGAAAAGGGATCCCTTCGAACTGAGCGTTACACAAAAAGCCGTGCCAAGAATATATGGTTCTTTGTAACTGCCGCCCCCCCCCACGCCCCCGTGACTGGTATAAGAAAACTAGTCAATTGTTCATTTGTGTGGCCTCCTCAAAGCTTTGCTGCATTTTGCACTGCACAAACCTGGGGCCCTCGATAGGCATTAGTATGACCTGTCCTCCAGTGAAGTCCTAATGAGTTTGCAGAAGCCAAGGGCCCGCGCTTCTGCAGGAATGCCTCGGCCTGGTAAAGTGCAACACCTCCTCCCCGGGGCGCGAAGGAAGAGGAACGAGTCCATGCCGCTCATGGAAATATTGCTTTGTGGAGTGACGGGAGACGCTTCTCCCTGCCCACGTTCCCCCTTGCTGGGCACATCTAGAAGGCAGAGTACGCTGGGTCAGGCCCAGTTTAGTTCCGGAATATTCTGAAGGGTGGAAATGACGGAGTTGGCCTGAAGTCTCCAGCCGCGGGAGAGGGGCGGGCAGTGCCAGCAGCATTATTGGTGCCCAGGAAAGGAGATGCGTGAGGCTCGTGCGCTTCCAGGTGCCTTTGGAAGGGGAGCAGAGAGCCGGGGGAGGGGGAGGGATGACATCATTCCGATAGGTGGGTACCCGTGTGTTCCACCCCGGGGGGGCCGAGTCCGAGAAGCGTCAGCCTGAAGGTTGCTCCCACAGTCCCTTAGAGGCAGCACAGGCCTCTTCTGCCGTCCAAGTCTGAGGAACGCCGAAGGGGAGAGGAGCGGGTGTCCCCCCGCCCATGGAGCCGACGGCTGCGGAGTCTCAGCGGGTACTCGGGCCCCGAGAGCAGACAAGGAGTGAACGGGGTGCGGTGAGGAGACTGAGAAACTAGCCGCGCTGAAGGGGCGCCCTCTGCCCCACGGAGGAGCGGGGAAGGGCCTTCGGCCGCTGTTGCGTGGTGAGGATACGAGGGCTTTCTATAGCTTTCCCCATCTGGGGGCCAGCGGGGCCTACGCGACCTGGGGACAGGGACGAGGAGAGAGGACTCATGCATCGGGGAAGGCTGGGCCTGCGCGACACAGGTCCGGCTTGTAGTTTCGGAGCCCCTCCGGCCAGCTAGCAGAACGACCTGAGCCACAGCCGGGCCTGGCGTCCCTCGGAGGGCAGGAAGGCAGGAGGGTGGAGAAGCGGGAGCCCAGGGGACAGCAGACCTCACCCAGCCGGCTCAGTTGTCCTCGGCGCAGGGCCGGGCTGGCCGTAAGCGCTCCTCGGCCCGGGCTCGCCCCGACTCTGACGGCCCCGGCTTCGCAGGCAGCTCACACCGCTCCAGGGGGTTGTGCGGTCGCCTGTGGACACCGGGTGTGCAGCCGTCTCCGTCCTCCTGTGCCAAAAAGGACAGAAGTGAGCTGTGGAGGACAACAGCAAGTGACAAGACACGCTCATTCCCTACCCCAGGGGTCCTCTCCAGCCCGGCAGAGTGTAGACAGGCCACAGTTGCTTGGAAACGAGGAGAGACCACCCCCAGGCTGCTGGGGCTTGTCGGGTAGGACAGGGCCTGGGATCGGGGCACGGGGCCAGCCCCAGAAGCAGGGGCCCGGCACTCCTTGCGTTCTGCATGTGCAGGCTGCGTGCTTCTGGGGGTGAGCCATTTCCCTGCTTGGGGAGCAAGGAAGTACACTGGAAAGGAAGCCAGGCCAGGCTCCTCCTACTTCCCACCTATAAACTACCAAAAAGCCAGGGCCCTTCCCTTTCAGGTCCTGTACATATCCCTCATCCTCGCTCAGACAGCCAAAGCTTCGGGGACCTAAACACACCGCCCCCGCCTCCCCTTCACTCCTCTTGTACCAAAATTCTGCCTTTTCAATGTTCTCATTGGTCCTTCGAGCAAATGCAGATCGAAGAACTCAAGTATGAGTGAGCAAGTTTCAAGCTGGCGGGGTAGAAAGTGCGTGATTCAGAAACAGGAATCTTCGAGTCACATCTTAGCTCTTCCAGTAGTTCACTCAGGCGGCCTTAGGCGAGGCACTTTGGGTCTCTGACCCTCCATTTCTAGATCTAAAAAACGGGGCTAATACCTGCCCACAGAGCTCCTGGAGAGACGGAGACGGTGGGGAAGTGCGCCGGCAGACGCCGAGTGCCCTGTGAGGACTCACGGGGCATTTCGAGTTAACGCGCCATCACGTGCCTTCTAAAAAGGAAACAACATCTGCGTCCAAAACGTCCTGCATCCTCGCAGGCTCCGCATCAAGACACTCGCAGAGGCCGCCCCTGTGCTGCCCTGGCGCTCCGACCTCGCATGAGGAGGCGGTTGTGATTTCTCGCTCCTGGAATGAGCCTACTCTATCAGCCCTGCCCTCAAGACGAGGATACGATGACTTAGACGAGTGTCTGGGGCAAAAGAGAGCGACCCGTGGGCACAAGGCGTGTCAGCGGGGCCCGGGAAAAGCCCTCGCTCTCGTGCCCCGCGTGCCAGCAGCCGGCCGAGCTCTGCTGGGGAGACCCTCTCCCCGGCTCTCCTCTCGGGCTGCGGCTTCCTGGGCTTCTAGGTGCTGCTCTGTGGGGCTTTAAGGGGAGTTCCTTTGGCTACTCTGGCAAACCCAGGGGATGGAGGCCAGATCTCTTCCTTTTGTGTGGCCTTCATATACAGAAGAGACAAACTGGGAAAGGGGTTTGGGAAACTCAAGCTGCTCCCTGCCGAAATACCACCTTCAACGTACTTCCTCCTCCTTCAAGGCCAGACCCACCCGATTCTCAGCAGTTCTCTGAGCAACCCAGCTCTCCCCGGTACTTCCCAGCCCCATAATCCTGAGTCACACTGGCCAGAGAAAAGGAAAGTGCAAGGAGGGGAGGGAGGGGGAAGGCGGGGGGCTCACCGCGCCTGCCGCGTGGTTCCAGGCTGCCCCGGCGGCGGCATCTCCCACCCGATTCCGACGACTGAGCACCTCGGACACGGTGAGGCTACTCTGGGTCCTTCTGGAGGCGAGCTCGGGGGCGTCCCCTGAATTTCCTGCCCTTTGAGTGCCCTGCTCCCAGACGTACGACCTGGGCTGTCCGAGGTCCGAGCAGTCCGTGGCGGCCCTCTGGGTGTAGGCATTGGCAGCTTCCGCGTTTCTCCCTACTCGGGCTGGGGAGTCCTCTGAGGAGTTCAAGTCCCGCCTGCTCTTCCAGGCGTTGCGCAGCGTGACGTGTCTGGCGTCCGCAGAGCCCACTTCGGAAGGGGCGCTATGGCTTTTCCACCTGATCGTCTCCGCTGGGGGTGCGTGGCTGTTTCTCTCCGAGGGATCCGACGGCCTGATTATAATGCTGCTCCGAGACACCACGGTTTCCAGCCTGTTCTTCGGGGGCCCATCTGCCGTCCCTTCAGCTTCCGTGAACTGCAGGGCGATGTCATGTTTGTGAATGGAGAGCTCGAAGGGGGAGCTGACGTGGTTGCTGACCGCCGTGAGCTCTGCCGGCCCAACCTGGATGTTGCTGGTGGACGTGTGCCTCTCCCGGGGGGGCCTCGCCCGGGCTGGATCGAGGGCTGCTGCCGTCAGAGGGGTAAATAGTGATGCTGCTCGTCACCTTGTTGGGGCCTGGTTTGGAGGTGGATTTCTGCTTCTCCGTGGCGGCCTCGGTTCCAGATCCTCCCATAATTTTTTTCACATCCTTATCAATGATGACGGGTTTGATGATGGCTCTGGACCGCAAGGCCTCTCTGGGGCTGAAGGGCCGTTGGCTTTTGACCCCAGCACCATTGGCATCTGGGAACTCGACGGCATTGCTGGAGGCTCTGACAGCCTTCCCAGATTCATTTTCTGTCCCGACATCTTTATCATTCTCAAACAGGGAGGTTCTAAGTCCTCCTCGCGATTTGGCTTTTTCCCTCGAGCTGGGCTGGTGTTTGGGCTCCGGCTCCGGAGTGATGGTTGTGTTTACCAACTTGGCAGTAACCAGAGAGGCCGCATCCCCATCATCATCGGAGTCCGCCTTCTCTCGGCCACCGGATTTGAGGACTCGGCACCTCAGGGCCTCGTGCTGACTGCTGTCTTCCATCGCAACGGCTACGGGTTGATCGATGCCTTCTTTATTTGGGGTTGAAAAGCTCTGAAGGATGCTCTCTTGGCTTCTGGAGCTATAGGGATATTTTGATAAGAGTGGAGGCTTAGAATGTGGGAAACTGCTATCAGCCTCTGGGCCACCGGCAGCCTTTTTGCCCTTGCAGAGCCCTTCTGAGGAAGATCTCCGAGACGAGGCCAGGGATCCAATCCCCTTAGGACTGCCGCAGTCTGCAGCCTGATTTAACGGACTTCCGTTGCCGGGTACATGCCCCCTCTTGCCAAAGGGGGCCTCCGCGGAGGTGTCAGAAGCCTTGTCACCTCGACCCGGTACGTCACTGGGAACAGACCCATGGGTGGGATGGTCACTAAACGTTCGTGTTGTCTTCTCCACTTTTCCCTTCGACCCACTCTCCGCTGCTGGCTTGGGAGCGCCCTTCCAAACCTTGCTGTGCTCCTGCGCCGCGGGCGGGTAGCGGCTCAGCACCGACGGCTGCTCCCTGGCCTTCCTGCCTTCACTCTGAGAAGAGCCTGACGCGTATCGCTCTTCTGTCCTCCTCGTTTCCTGAGCCCCACAGTCCGCAGCCGCCCCCGCGCCGGAAGCTTTGGCGGCCCTCCTGTTGGCGAAACTAGGAGAGGAGACCTGCCTGTTGCCCAGAGAATAGTTGTCGCTGTTGAGAGCAAACTCCCTGTTGCGATGCCTCTCCCGCTTGTGCTGAGGGGACAGTTCCCGGGCCGTGTGCTTGGACACAGGTGCCTCAGTCCCGTGGCCTCTCAACTTAGTCCTCTCGCGCCTGCCTTTGCCAGACAGGAAAGCCTCGTCCCCTTCCACCTCCCCGTTCTCTACCTCTTTCTGTTTCTTGATTTGTAGCTTTATCTCCTCCAGCTGGCTGGCCAAGAGTTTGTTCTTATTTTGTTCACTTAGGTAATTATCCTGAAGATCATTATTTCTGGCCCTCATTTTCTTAAGCTCTTCTTCCAAAAATTCAAAATGTTTGATCTGTGTCTTAAGTTTCTCAATCTCTTGGTTAAGGTCTTTCACTTTGTTGTCTTCCTGATTTCGGTTCTTCTCGTTTTCGGATTTGTTTCTGGTTTCGTTCTCTACCTGCTTCAGATAGTCCAGAGCGCCCTTCCTCCTTGATTCTTTGCACGGCAGCGTGGAGCAGATCCCGTCCTCAATCCGCAGGTCGTTCCTTTCCAGAAGATTAGAAGCGTTCCTGGTATAATCTCGGTTCATTTTTTTGTTCTGCTCCAGTTTCTGCGTGAGCTCTCTGATCAGCTTCTCGTTTTCCTTCTCCTTTTCATTCAAGTATTTTCTCTCACTCACAAAGCTCAGAGTCAACGACTTCAGCTTTTCTAACTCTGACACTAAACTCTGCTCCGTTTTATCCAGGCGGTCCTCGGAACATTCCAGTTCTTTCACTTTGACCCTGAGCATTTCCAGCTCGGAGGAGATCTTCTTGGTCACGTTCCTCTCCTCATTCAGACTCAGACAGAGCTGGGTGCAGTCGTTCTTGCTCCTGCCGAAGGCCTCCTCCAGCTTCTCCAGCTCGGCCATTCGTTTCTGAAGCCGCTCGATCTCAGACTTCAGCTCCCGGGTGAGGTTTTCTTCCTCTTCCAGCTTCTCCTTCATCAGCCGACACAGGTCCTCCGCTCTCTTGATTTCCTCATCTTTGCCCTCGATTCTCAGCACTCGCTGGCGCAGCACTTCGATCTCCGCCAGCATGCTGGAGTTGCTGCCTTCCGCCTGAATCACCTTGTCCTGGAGGTCCAGGAGCTCATCCTCTGCTTTCTGGAGGTTTTTTGTGGCTTCCTCCAGCTCATCGAGACGGCGGCCTAGACTCTGTAGCTTAAACCGCAGGTGGCGGCTGGAGGCGGTGTCCTTGCAGCTTGTAAGTTCCGCCATGCCTGCCGCCAGGGGCTGCGCGCTCCGAGAGGCATCCAGTTCCACTCGAGGGGACGAGAAATGGTTACCTTTCTCTCGGTGTCCACAGCCTTCTTTGGCAGCTGAAGACCATTATCAGTCTACAGAAGGAAAAGCAGAAAGCATGTCAGGCAGCAGATCGAACATCTGTACTTCAGCCCCCCGTTGTTTTAATTCTTGTACCTAGAACATAGCAGGTGCTCAAATGTGCTGAATGAATTTTAATAATCCTGCAGGAATGACTACTACTGAGTGATTATCTAGTTTAATCCTAATGAAGAATGTTACCCGTGGCCGCATGGCAAAAATACAGAGGGATGCCTTATTTCTCATCTTTACCGTGTGCCACCTACATAATCCCAGGACTGTCCTTACGTTTCTGCAAATCACTAAGTAAACAGCTTCAGTTTTACTGAGTTGTAAAATGGGCATAATGATCCTTACCATATCTCTCCCCATTACTGTTCCGAGATAATGTGTAGAAACCTCTTGGTAATAAAGCAGTAAATAATCGTAAGATTATCAAGAACTATGACAGCTTCAGGGAACAAATAGATTAGTGAATGGGGCGCCTGGGAGGCTCAGTGGGTTAAGCCTCTGCCTTTGGCTCGGGTCATGATCTCAGAGATCAAGCCCCGCATCGGGGTCTCTGCTCTGCAGGGAGCCTGCTTCCCCCTCTCTCTCTGCCTGCCTCTCTGCCTACTTGTGATCTCTCTGTCAAATAAATAAAATCTTAAAAAAGAAAAAATAGATTAGTGAAAAAGAAAATCACTTCACTGACATTAGGGAGATAATAGGACCTAGGCTCTGGGAGGGGGAGAAAGAAAGGGTTGTATCCCTAGAGAATTTATAATTTGGGGCGTGCCTTCACTTGAGTTCTGAGTTCAAATTTAGACTGCCTTGAGTGGTCTGGTGTCAACTTGTCCTTGCTGACAATCTAACCTAAAATGCTCTCAGCCTGGTAAAATCCCTGGGAAACCTACCAGAGGTAAAAAGAAATACTCTGGAGAGATACACTCTCTACCCAGGTCACACAAGAGTTCCACAGATAAAGTCCTGCTGAACCCTGGGTTTACAAGTCTAAATTACAAAGACGGGCACCTGGGTGGCTCAGTCAGTTAATCATCTGCCTTTGGCTCAGGTCATGATCCCAGGGACTCTGGGTCCTGGGATCAAGCCTAGCATCACATTCCCTGCTCAGTGAGGAGCCTGCTTCTCCCTCTCTCTCTGCACCCCACTTATGCTCTCGCTCTCTCTCTCTCTAGTGCTTTCTCTCAAATAAACATCTTTTAAAAACCCACAAAAAAACATAAGGACCGCTCTTCTACTATGACTGAACATTGTTGGTATATATTTATACCAATAAGAACAAAAGTTCGTAAGATAGAGACCCTAAATTAAGTATATTCCAGTGTTTACAGTAAAAAGAAAAAAAAAATAGAAGGAATCCAAACCAGATTAGAAAGAGATGGCATTAACTAAGATCAGAAGATTTTAAAATTAACCAAAAAGAATCACTAGAAATGGAAAGAAAAATGGCAAATTCAATGCAAATCAAGAGAGTACAGTGGTTGAGAAGAGATACAAGATTACAAAGGGCAGCATAAACTTAAAAAGATTTTGTGAAAGAAAGTCTCATGTGGAACCTGGGTGGCTCAGTTGGTTAAGCACCTGACTCTTGATTTCAGCTCAGGTCTTGATCTCAGCTTCATGAGTTCAAGCCCCCTATTCGGCTCCATGCTGGGCATTAAGCCTACTTGAAGAAGAAAGGAAGGAAAGACAAGAAAGGAAGGTTAATAGGTGGGGAATAAAATAAAGATGTCTAAAAATGAGGAAGTTTTTAATGTGCGACCCAAAAGGAAGGAATAGAGAGAATTAAGGTGATGTAATATTTGAAGAACTACCAGTATTTTCAAGAGTTGATGAAAGATAGGAAGCCGGGGCGCCTGGGTGGCTCAGTGGGTTAAAGCCTCTGCCTTCAGCTCGGGTCATGGTCTCAGGGTCCTGGGATCGAGCCCCGCGTCGGGTTCTCTGTTCAGCGGGGAGCCTGCCTCTCTGCCTACTTGTGCTTTGTCTGTCAAATAAATAAATAAAATCTTTAAAATAAAAAAAAAAAAAAGAAGGAAGCCTTACATTTAAGAAGTAAAGTCCCAACCAAGCAGGGTAGTAAAGTTAAATCTGCACCTAGACACGTAAGTAAGGATACAGCAGGATACCACCAAGAGAAGAGAAGTAACAAAAAGGAAAATAATCGTAACCTAGAAGAAAATACCCAGGGAAAGTATGAAAGAAGATACAATTAGAAACCCTTTCAGAACCAAAAAAAAAAAAAAAAAAAAAGGGAAAATAAAAACCTAAGTGTTTATTATTAATAGACCTTCACTGAAAAAGCTATTTATGGATGTACTTCAGAGTATAAAAACTGGGGCACCTGGGCGGCTCAGTCAATTAAGTGTCATGTCGGACTCTTTATTTTGGCTCAGGTCGTGGGATCAAGCCCCACTTTGGGTGCCATGCTCCAACGGGGAGTCTGCTTCTCCCTCTCTCTCAGCCCCTCCCCCTGCTCTTGGACATGTCCTCTCAAAAAAAAATCTAAAAAAAAAAAGTGAATATAGAAATTGATCACTTAAGGCAGGCATGATATGCAAGAAGGAATGGAAAGCCAAGAGTTTTTTTAAGATTTTATTTGAGAGAGACAGCACATGAGAGTGAGCGGTGGGGGGTGGGGGGAGTCAGAGGGGAAGAAGCAGACATCCATGCTGAGCAAGGAGTCCGACCCAGGGCTGGATCCCAGGACCCTGAGATCGTGACCTGGGCTGAAGACAGACACTTAACCAAATGAGCCACCCAGGCGCTCCAGGAAAGCAAAGAAATTAACCCACACAAGCACTGGTTCAGTTAAACAGTAAACAAAAATAAACTGGGGATAGGAGGGGGTAGGGCAGGATAAAACCAAAGTGGAACTGAACTAAAATGCCGGGTAATAACATGTAATTCATAAAGAAAGAAATCAGGATTCAAGCGTTCTTAAAAAGTTGTAGTTCGAGGGAAGAGGACAGAGTAATTATAACTAAATTTAGAACTTGTTAAGAGTAACTATTAATCAGATGCCTGATAAGGCATTAGTAAGCAGAATATATATAAAGAACTCCTACAACTTAACAAAAAACAAGTAACGTGATTTAAAGATGGGCAAAGGACTTGAAAAGACATTGCTCCAGAGATAATATGGCCTACAAGCATATGAAAAATTACTCAACCTCACTGACATGAGGGAAATGCAAATCAAAATCACAATGGGAGATCACTTCATACCCATCAGGACAGCTACTACCCAAAAAACCAGTGTTGGTGAGAATATGAAGAAACTGGAATCCTTGTACACTGTTGGTGCAAAAATAAAATGGTAAAACTTCTTGGAAAACAGCATGGCAGCTCCTCAAAAGATTAAAAAAAGAATTACCATATGACCCAGCAATTTCACTTCTGGGTAGAAGTACAAAACAATTTCAAAACAGGATCTTCAAGAGATATCTGAATGCCTGTGTTCATGAAAGCACTATTTACAATGGCGAAGAAGTGGAAGCAACCCAAAGTGTCCATCAGAGGATGGATGGAAACACAAAATGTAGCATATGCTACAGTGAAATAATTCGTCTTAAAAAAGGCGTTTCTGTCACCTGGTACAACCTGGATCAAGCTTGAGGACACTGTGCTAAGTGAAACAATTCAATCACAAAAGACAAATACTGTATGATTTCACTCATGATGTACCTAGAATATTCCAGTTCACATAAACGCAGCAGAATGGTAATTGCCATAGGCTGGGGGAGGTGAAAATGGGACTGTTACTTAACGAGTATGGAATTTCAGTCATGCAAAATAAAAAATGTTCCGGAGATTGGTCTGTACAACAATGTGAATACATACTTAACACTACTGAACTATAAATGGTGAATATGATAGATTTTATGTTATGCATTTTTGCCACAATTAAAAAAAAAAAAACATCTTAAGGCAGTAAAAAGCATAGAGAAGGTAGGGCAGACCTCCAGTTTCTAGCCCAGCATGTAAGGAAGTCATCACTGCGTCTTAACATATAAAAAGTGGAACAGACTGAAAATTCACAACTCTTCTTAGATCCATGAGAGAAATGAGGTCACAAAAACCACTGGTCCAAAACTTAGACAAGCAGACGCAGGGAGTCATAATTTAACACAAGAGAAATTCACGAGTGCCCACGGGAACTGGCACAAGAGCTGGCAAACCTAAACTACAACTGACAACTTGCTGGAAGCTCAGTGAGGACAGCTCCGCAAGCTAAGAGCAAGACGGAGTCTCAGTCTTGAGGGGAATGCAGCACAGCCCACGTTATGAGCTTTACCTCCAGAAGCCGTACAAGGCTCTCACAGTGAGGATGAGAGAAAACTCCCTTGTGCACCCAGCAGGGGAGGATTAAAACAAATATTTTGAAACTAGAGCCTGGGCAAAAGGAAATACCCAACTCCAGAAATACCCAACTCCGGCTCCCTCTAGCCATCCTGTACCACCTACGGGGCATAAGAGTTTGAGGGGAGAAGGGGAGAGGACCATCAGTAAAGGCCTACTTACCTCAGTCATTTTTATCCAGGACCTCATGTCCTGCTTTCATCAAAAAATTACAAGGCATACTAAAAGGCAAAAAACAGGGTTTGAAGAAACACAGCAAGCATGAGAACCAGACTCAGATATGGCAGAGATTTTGGAATTACCAAAAATTTAAAACAATGATTAATACACCAAGGGCTCTAATGGAAAAAGTAGACCTCATACAAGAACAGAAATGGAAATTCTAGGAATCAAAAAAATATATTAGAAATAAAAAACACTGTAACAAATGCAGAATGCCTTTGATTATCTCATTAGTACAATAACAGAGCTGGGTAAAGAACCTCTGGGCTTGAGGGTATGTCAATAGAAACTTCCAAACCTGTAAAGTAAAGAGAAAAATTACTTAAAAAAAAAAACAAAAACCAGGGGCGCCTGAGTGGCTCAGTGGGTTAAAGCCTCTGCCTTCGGCTCAGGTCATGATCCCAGGGTCCTGGGATCGAGCCCCGCATTG